CAGAAAAGGGGAAATGAAAAGAGGGAGGAAGGGAAAGCGTGCGACGTCGCCAGTTTTCCTCTTGAAGGGTCTCAGGCCCTCCGCGTAGGAATACAATGAACAAAGGAGAACCCAAACACGTGTGGACCACTTGAAACAGAGAAACGTTCGAAATATACCAGAATTGAGATTTTACGATTTTACGACTGTGACCGATGTGTTTATTTTTCTCTCAGAGTTTAGAATTTTCAGGAAAAGCCTTTCTGTAACAAATTTTGGAGAGTAATAAATTGAGAACTCAACTCAAGTACATGACATTTACGATTGCTGGCAACGGTTTTTCTTACACTCGTCAAATTATTTTTTGTCCATTCTTCATTGTCCTCTGTTCGACCATTTTCTTGGCATTCTCAAATTTCAGACTTTTTTTATATTCATTTTGAAATGATAATTCAAATCTCGCGGATTAAAATGGCCGATAAATAGTGCCATCTATAAAATTCAACGTCGGGACGTTACATGGTCAGTTGCGGATGTGTTCAGTTGACTGTGTCCAGTTGTACCCATCCCGGGTTTTTTACTCGTGTGACATTGGCGTCCGAGCCGAAGGCGAGGACTGGCCAACCACACGAGTACAAAAACCTCATCGCAGCAGCCCGGGACAAGATTTTTTTGTAGTGATTTTCAAGTTTTCGAGTTTAGGAAGTATGAGACGAGAAATCGTGAGAAGCAGTACAGAAATAGTACATTACATGCTCGAGCCTTGGAAAACAGATCACCGTCCCTCAAGTGCTTGTCATCCTCGCCTTCGGCTCGGAAGGCAATCTTGCACGTGGGGTCCGAATACTTTTCTCTCGCATTTTAATTGTCAAATTTGATGAGTGAAAAGGGCTGAATCTACAGTTTGCTCTATACCAAACTGTAAAAGATATTTGGATATCCCTAGAAACCAGGTGTTGCTTACGATTCTCCCTGTTTTTCATCGATAATATTTATATTCCTCAGCTGTTGAAAAAAAAATCTAACCAGCTGTACTTCACAGTTTAAAAGATAATAAATAATGAAATGTGAGCTTCTAGCACGCGAGGCATAGGCCTAACGGGAAATACGGGTCCTTGCTAAGTCGATTTTACCATTTTATGAGAAAACGGGTTCTCACGATGTTTTTGAAAAACGCATTCACGTTAAAAAAATAGATTGATAAATTCCGAATACCGTGAATTTGTTGTAAAATTTTACAGTACATGGTTTCTGCGATATTCAACTCTGAAAAATGGAAATTTCGTAAAATCATTTTTTGTCATTCCGGCCGTAGGCAGAGATTCACGGACGCGGAGCGGAGCGTCCGAGAAACGCTGCCTCACGGCCGGAATGACAAAAAATATTGTTCATCATACGGCCAAAAAAAACTTTAATGTCGTTAGGCCCGAAAAAACCACGATTCTAACCTCGCTTCGCTCGGTTAGATTGCGGTTTTCGGGCCCAGCGACATAAAATATCGTATGCCACACGGCGATAAAAGCGTTATCTGGCGAATGTGGCATTATAATCCGAGCCGAAGGCGAGAAAAAACTTTTCTAGCGAATATGATTGCAGCCCTCGCCGTCGACTCGTGCTGCAAACCTCATATTCGCCAGAAAATTTTTTTTTGCCGTATGACGAACAATATACGGCCGGAATGACGAAAAAAACTTTTCTAGCTCATATGATTGCCGCTCTCGCCTTCAGCTCGTGCTGAAAACCTCATATTTGCCAGAATAGTATATTTCGAACAATATTTTTCATCACAATGTGCTGGAAAGTGGACTTTTAGGCACGCGGAGCGTGCCGAAAAGTTCACTTTTCGTCACAGCGTAATGAAAAAGTTTTTTTCGGTCTAATGACGAAATATACCACCTTATTCCAGTAACGAAGCGGTAAACCGGGTTAAGTCTGTATTGACTATTATCTCGGTTTTTGACGATTTTTGACGGTTTATACCGTTTTTAACGAATATCTCGGAATCTAAAAAAGATAGAAAAAATTTTGTCATAACCTTTTTTGTAAAGCCAATTGATAGTTATAAAAAAGGTCATGAGGAAAACGGTGCTATTTCTCTTAGATTCCGAAATAAAAATCGACTTAACCCGGTTTATCGCTTCGCTACTGATTTGATTCGAGCAGTTACTGTTGCCTTCATCAACAACATATGAGGATAGAAGAACTCAATAACTTATGAAAACTTAACAAATTAAGTCATTTAGAATTTTTTCCGGAAAGGCCTACAGGGACTAACTTTGGGAGGTATTGTTTTGAAATACACCTTAACGGGTAACAGAACGCCATTGTTTCCTCGAAATTCTCAAACAAATTTCTTGCTCAAAGTTATCAATATTTTTCTAACCCGAAGCACATTGATCTTTATCATCGCTTCGTGGAGATTAATGTGCTTTGATTTGTTAAAATATCAATAACTTTCAGCAGGAAATTCATTCAAAAAATTGGAAAATTAGCGGCATTCAACTTGTTGGCAATAGTGGGGGGGGGGGGNGGGGGGGGGAACGTATTACTCACTCCTCAGTCCTCACTGTTGCGGCTCCTGTGCGACGATGAACACATGATGTGCCCTATACGCAGCGTATTTACGGGATCAGTCGCATGCGGCACGTGCACCGGCGATTTGTGAATAGCCTGAAAGTTGTGAAGTGCCGACAGTCACCGCGAACACAAAGGAAAAATGAGTGTCAGTAAAAAATTGTTGACACGTAATGGAATTCCTTTGAAGATTCACGTGATCGTTCCCGATGTTCGACGGCTCATGAGCTGCATGTCCCTTGTCGAGGTGAATTCATTATCTCCATCTCATTATTGATAAAATAATGAAACTTAATTTCGGTACAACAAACGTTGTTTCTTCTAATTCTTTGTCTCTGCAGAATTATGGAGGAGAACTGTCGACAATTGATGTCGATACCATTGTCTTGATAGAAGGTGCCACTTCACGTCTGAATCGCGAGTGCTTTCATGTTAATTGGCTCTATGACAGTATTGAAAGGAATAAACTTCAGGAGATTGAAAAATACAAGTGAGTGTAACGAGGATAAATACGTTTAAAATGCCCGAAAAAAAATTATTCACCATTGATAATTTCTTATATGATCTCTAACTATTTCCAGCAAACTAAACATTTGAGGATATTGTAAAATTTACAAAATGTTAGATTGATACGCAAACAATTTATATATTGACACTTTAGAGTATGAATTTCTGGAAGTCAATATTTGTTGAAACGCTGATAAAAGTGCGTGTCCACACTGTTATTAATATTTAGGATATGTTGTCCTACAGGAAATGCTATAGGAAATCCTATATGATGTTATAGGAAATCCTATAGTATTTTTTCATGCATGATTAGAGATGCAAATGCGTCACATGACCCGTCAGTGACGGTCACATGAAGAGGCGTTCATGATGGCTGTCACAATTCCCCCTCCTCCTTCTGTGACACAACAACTTGTCAAGAAAAAATGACAGTCATTTTTCATCTATATAGATGAAACTTTATTTTTTTCTCGGTCAATTTTCAGTGGAATTCCTTTTGTATTGGCCTAATCCGCATTTTGAAATGGAAATCACGTTTTTTTTCCATCCATATAGATGAAACTATTTTGTTTTATTCATGACCGTCACAAATTGGGAATTAGTTATGACCGTCATTATGCAACTATATAGATGGTTTGACAACAATTTGGGTACAAATGATTTGTGACAATCATCTGTAGTTGGAAAATTTGTGCGTCACATGACCGTCATTTTTTGGTCATATGACGCGATCTAAAAAATGACGGTCATTTTGCATCTCTATGCATGATGTTCTCAGAGAAATTCTTCCATCTCCTTTAAATTCCGAGATATTCAATGAAAACCAATCCTTCGACGAAATTGACTTGAACTGTTTTACCACATCACTACTGAACTAAACTCTCCATTTTATCCCATCCTCCTCTAATTTAGTCTCTTATTACAGAATTTCATCAACAATCAACGGGGAAAAGACCCCTGAGATTGAAGTGATCTCATCTGATCACGTAAAATCAGCCCAACAATTAGAAAATCGTCAGGACGGCCCAGTGGCCTTCAGCTGCCATCGTTGCCATCACCCAGTCATTGAATTAATGAAAGCAAATATTCCCCGAGTTTTCGTTGCCTCAAACGAATGGAAAGTATTCCGTTGCTCGTCTTGCAAGGGATGGTATTACTTTCATCCTTCAGACGATTCCATCACTGCTGTTGACGAATCCCTGGCAGCTCCAATCAGCCAAAACGATAATCAAAAAAGTGAACATTTAATGGAGTTCAATTATTCGGATGATTCAGGCAATTTTGGTCCTCAAGATTTAGCCCAACTTGACTGGTACATGTCCAGTCACATTGACTCTCGAGATTCGACAGTCACATCTGATGCATCACAAAGTGCATCTGATATCCAAAACACTGGAGTCACTTCATCAGCCCCATCACCTAGTGATAATACAGCTCAATCGAAAAAGAAGAGGAAAGCTGTCATCAAGAGGAAGAAGTCGTAAGTAAACATTTTTCACTGACTTTTTGCTTCCGAATAAAAGCCTTGTAATCGGTCATTTTTAGGATTTTCTAATTTTGCTTCGAAATGATGTAGAATTACGCACCACAAAATTTAATAGAAAAACCTATCGAATTCATTAGAAAATTCTATTGAATTTCTATTAAACTTTCTATTAGTTTTTGGCTGATTCTATTGACATATTCAATAGAAAAAGTCAACAGAATTCGATTTTTCGATATAACTTACTCTTTTCATTTATTTTCTATAGAATTGCTCGACTCGAATTTTCTAAGTCTTTTTCATTCTATTTTTCTTTTCTTCTCATCAAGAAAATCAAACGAAAAAACTTGAGTCGAGGAAATTCTATAGAAAATATCTCAATAGGATAAGTTATATAGAAAAATTGAATTCTATTGACTTTTTCTACTGAATATTTTCTATTGAACATTTCAATAGAATCGGCCAAAAACTAATAGAACAGTTCAATAGAAATTCAATAGAATTTTCTAACGAATTCGATAGGTTTTTCTATTGAATTTTTTCGTCCGTGATGTCATGAAACGGGAAGATATGATGTTTGTAGAAAATGTGTGTATGTATGTCCGTATGTGTGTGCAGATTTTTCGGAAATCCTTTTTCATAAAGTTGATTGACAATGAATGATTGTTTTAATTGCTAACTTTTTATTCGCCTTGCGATTGGTTGATGGATCAATCAATGATTTCCATGACTACGAGGATGCTATTGTGCGTTACAGCGTTCACTTGAAGGTCGTCGCGCGCGACAGCGCGCATGATTGCCTAGTTTTCTATAACTCTCAACAATAAAGTTGCAGCTATAAATCTGAAATTGTGTCACATAACTACTATCATTTGATAGCAGCTCTGAGCGCAGTTGCAGCCCAATTGGTCAAGTAGTAGTAGTTTTTGAGATACAGCAATTTCACAAAAATCGTTTTTCTTCAATATCTCAAAAACTGCGTGACTTAATTGAATTTTTTTGACGTCAAAGTGTTCCTTGTGAAAATATCTATTAAATCAAACGAAATATGTCTACGAAACTAGGGACAGTTTCATGATAATTGGCATTTTTCATGTTTATGATTAAATTGGTGTATACATAAACGATAACTCCCGAAAAAATTGAGATAGGATATTGAAATTTGGTGAGATTGTAGCTCTGGTGATATTACCGGATGAGTTCGTGAGTAGGCGAAATCGAACAAGTGGTTTAGAAGATATTCAACTTTTTGTGAAAAACTGTTTTGCTCAATATCTCCTAAAATACTGATCCGATTTCAATTTTTTTTTCAAAATACTCGTCTTACTGCCACTTGTCGAGATCAATCAAAATATGAATAGCCGTCCATACAAAGTTTTTGAGATAATCACGTTTTTCTATTTTTTTCATCTCAGTGAATTTGACGTTCCGTAATCCGCGTAAAAGTTCGAATGAACCCCATAAAATTTTGCCTACTAATCAGTATTATTAAGTCTCACTTCTGTACAAAATTTTGGGTCGATCGATTCAGTACATCATGGCATAGAGCCAATTATCTAAAAATCGTTTTTTCTAAAAAATGACACATCGCCACTTTATCGATGATTTTCACGTCTGGAAGATTAAAAAAGTCATTCAACATTAAATATGCTCATTTCTATTTTATACCATATTGTTAAACATTAGGCAGTTTCATAATAAATGAATGTTTATTAAAGATTTTGTGGCGAAAAAGATAATAAAAGAAAATACAAAAAGGCGTGACGCGTCCGCGGAATAGGATTGAAGATAAAATCGGATCCATTCGGAAGCTTATTACTAATGGCATTGCTAGAAAAAAAAGACTAATAGCACATGAGGAAACAGTCACATGGCTTCTGCCAAATAGGAGTTCTACCCTGCTTGTTTATTGTAGCTTTAGTTGCAACTTCGTTTGAAGATTTATTGAAAATTTTGTTTTCGAGAATACAATAAATCTGAACATTTCGGTTAGTTTCATCTTGATTGACTGTTCAGTTTTATTTATACTGTTGCGAAATTAAATGGTTTAGTTTATCCTCTTCCCCTCTTTTGGAAAATGAATGAAAATTGATTGTCGTTCTCTAATGTTGGGGAATAACTTCATATGTTCTTATTACTCCATCTTTGTTCCATGATTGATTTTGAAGAACTGTCAATAAATACGCCCCTTCGATTCATCCAGAATTATTATTCAATTAAATACAACAATACAATTCAAAATATATAGAATATAACTGAGTTTTCGGAGGAATGAGGGAGTTTTGAGTACACAAGATTGTACGTACAAAAAAAATTCACAGGAAAAATTAACAAATTTTATAGAAAATTCGATAACACTTCAGAAGATTTTCTCACCTTAGATTTATAATTTTATGTACTGATTCGATGCATTTTGACGAATTATTAACGAGGAAAATGATTACATCATGGGCCCTCATGGCGATTTTTCAAATTAGTATGGAATTATATTATCAGCTCAGATGATAACGTAGTTTCGGGCTAAATATAAAAATCTCCATAAGAGTCCGTATATAAGAAGCAATTTCGATCGTTAATAATTTGAAAAGGAAATCTACAAAAATTCTAGAAAAATTCAAAGATAATTCAGCAGTGATTCTGAACTTTCTGTATGGATTCCGAATAAATGTGATTATTTAATTTTTTCGAACAAAACACCTTAAATCGACTTGGCTCTTAGCTGAGTTCTCGCGAAATATTCCCCAATCTAAGGGAAATAGCGGAACTTTTGCAATGACCTTTTTTGTAGAGCAAATTAAGAACTATAAAAAAGGTTTGTTAGAGATTGAGGCTAATATTAGGGCGGATTGGGGGCACGTGATATGAAAAGGGTGAAATTAAAGACACACGGATTACAAAAACACTGGTGATGTACTTTATTAGTGGCGCAAGCCACGCGTCTTGAGTTTAGGGATACACGAATCGATGAATGTCTCAATGTTAAATTCGATAATAGTCTTTACACTGTACTTGATAATCTCTTGATATTGAACTTGATAATTGATTCAAAATGATTGATAGTTAAGGGGTAACAGAAGGCCACCGTTTCCTGGAAATTTTCAAACAAATTTCCTGCTCAAAGTAATTAATATTTTTTTAACCCAAAGCACATAATTGATTTTCATTATCGCTTCCTGGAGATTAATGTACTTGGATTTGTAAAAATATCGAAAACTCAGCATGAAATTTAAAAAAAAATGGAAAATCAGCGGCGGTATCCGGTCTAAATGTTACTGTAAAAAATATTACGGTAAATAATATTACGATCCAAATTGAGAACGTCTTTGGGCTCGTCGTCAGCGTGCTGGCCCTATAAACCAAAGCGTCCCAGTAGCGCAGGTTCGAGTCGCGGTGATGAAAGATTTTTTCATCGCCGGAAAACGAACCCAGTGCATGTGGAGTTAGTTATGTGGAGTTAGATATAAGTTAGCTTAGAGGCAAGTGCGGGTAGGGAATTAGGCTGGGGTACCGCGTAGGTACTGGGACGGGTAGGTAAAAGACCACAACGGTCATACCATCTGGCACCACCCAATTTTTTATTACGATCCAAATTGTTACGGGGTCTAATTATTATTGGTCGTTTTTATTATTGGAATTAATATTACAACGTTTTTACCGATGTCGGTGTTATTATTCATTATTATTTTCCGTTATTTATAGCATTTCTTTATCTCGTTAATTTGGTCATTTTATATTATGAGCAATTCCCCTCATAATCATAAGTATTGCAATTGTCATCCCAGCTTTGCGCTAGGGTGGGCATGGTAATTATTTCAAGGCACCCGTGTCGAGCATTCCGATATAACTAACTTTTGTTGAAGAATCTTCGGTGTTGTGTGTGAATATTTGAGGGAATTTTATTTTGTTTTGGGGGATTAATATAATCGTACCAACTCATACACCTGTTGAGTAATCAATGGTAACTGACCTCGATTCATATTTTTTGGTGTTGGGTTATTGTATCGATTTGATTTTCGGGGAATTCCTAATCGAGCGGATAAAGGTTTGTCCTTGATTCCATACCTTTATGTGCGATAATATTACGGTTCAATAATTTTTTGTCCCGTAATATTTTTGCGTAATATTTTTTACCGTAATATAATGGTTCCGTAATATTTAGACCTGCAACCATCAGCGGTATTTTGTTACCCCTTAACTCGGAATTAATTGTTAATTGATCGAAATAGAGACGCTACACAGGGCGCTAGACTCAATATCACACGGGGATGTACTCGGTTGAGCAATCACGCTGATACTGTACTCAATAGGTGACTCTTTGACTAACCGATGCATACTCTTTGATGAATAGATTGATACTTAAATTCATATTTGGCGATTTACTGCGTGATTTGCCCGTGAACCCGAAGGGTCCCGAAGTCGATCGAGATTTTCCGTTGAGCCCGGTAACTTTTGATGATGACTTATTTGCTGCGTTTCAAACAAGGTTATTAGAAAAATTCTGCGATCTGCCTTAAAATCTGAAATATTCGCTGGAAACTAACCGATAGTCAAAATTGACTTCATTAGTGATTTAGAAAGTTTGCCGAATGGTGGAAAAAATAAAAATGAAATCATCAAACTACTATAATTCCAAATAACTATTATAATTTAAATAACTTGTTACAACTATTATAAATCTAAATGATGAAATGAGGAAATTTGATAAAATGAAAACACATTGATTCAATATTTCTGTAACCCAATAATAACATTAATATAACGATTTCTCCTGAATTCACAGGCGCTCTACTCACAGCAACGATTATTCGAAGGAGGAAAATGAAGCTATAATACACTTTCTCATAAAAAATGGGGCAATATCGAAAGCAAACGGTCGAAAAATCTGGGAGACTGCAGAATCTCAAAAAGTAAATTCAATTCATGTTTTTTTTCAATGAATTCTTACGTGACGACTTGTAATCGTTCCATACTTAATTTCTTCACAGCTCCTGACTGATCCGTACCGTTCTGCTGATGGCATGAGGAATCACTTCGCCGGTAATCTACGATTTAATTTTCGAAAGTACACGAATGATGAAGAAGCAATGAAGGAATTCGCGGTGATTAAACAGAAAGCCCTGCAGAATCGTATTCTGAATTATTCTAGGAGATTGATTCAAACGATTAATTGTCATGAGATGGAATGAGAGATGATTCATTTCATTTATATGTGATAAGAAGTGATATTTCTAGGGGTCAGTGGGGTAAAATGGACACTTGAATTATTTTCAATGTTCATAACTCAGACTCAAATTTATCAATTTAAGTCTACATGTCCGACAAAATTTCATAGAAAAATCTAGTAATTCGTTAGAGAATTCTATTGGATTTTCGATTGCACTTTTTATTAATTTTTGGCCGATTCTATTGAGAAATTTGGCAGCTTATCTGTACGTTTTTTATGAATGGCAATGTTCAATAGAAAATATTCGGGAGAAAAAATCAACAGAATTCGATTTTTTAATGAAAATTCTTCCATGGAGATATTTCCTGTAGAAATTCCTCGGCTCAAATTTCTCAAGTTTATTCGTTCAATTTTTTTGTAATTAAAAAATGAGAAGAACTTTGAAAATTCATGTCGAAGAATTCCTATAGGCTCTGTCTCAATAAATGAAGTTGTATTAAAAGATGCAAATCAATTGATTTTTTCGGTAAAATAGTTTCTGTTGGACATTTTCAATTAAAAAGAACGCACAATAAAGCAGTGGAATTGTTCAATAAAATCGGACAAAAACAATAGAATTTTCAATAGAAATCTAATAGAATTTCCTATCAGATTCGCTAGATTTTTTCATCAAATTGTTTCGTGCGTATAGGGTCGTCATAGAGGGAAGGGATTGCACCTCACGCATGAAAAAATTCAATATAAAACCTAGCGAATTCGCTAGAAAATTCTATTGGAATTCTATAGGAATTCTATGGGGGTTTCTATAAGATTTCTATTGGAATACTATTGAAAAATTCGATTTGTTTTTTGCGCTGTTTCTATTGAATATTTAATAAGAAAAAGTCAACAGATTTCGAATTTCTGTATGAATTTTTCTCTTAGATTTTCTGTATTAGAATTATTGGGCACAAATTTTCCAAGTTTTTTCCGTCGAATTTTGTTTTGTTTTGCACTGCAGAATCCGAGTGGAAAAAACTTAAAAAATTGATGCCCAAGCATTCTTATAGAAAAAATCTCAAGAGAAAAATTCAAACAGAAATTCGAAATCTATTGATTTTTTCTTATCAAATATTCAATAAAATCAGCGCAAAAAACAATAGAATTTTTCAATAGAATTCAAATACATGTCCTGTAGAAACCCCATAGAATTCCTATAGAATTCCAATAGAATATTCTAGTAAATTCGCTAGGTTTTCTATTGAATTTTTTCATGCGCGCTATCACAAAAAAAATTATCCCCTTTCATTGAAAATTCAAAGAGTCATCAACTTGAAATAAATTCGAGAGTGTAAATTTCGCCACCTGTGAATAGTAATCAAACAGGATATGAGTCAATTTCAGTTGAAGTATTTGAGAAATTCTTTGATATCTGCCTTAACAAAAAATATTTTCAAAATATTTTCCGACAAATTTTGCCATCTCCCTTAAGTTCAGGGAAATTCGTTAAAATTTTACCTTCAAATTAAGTTGACTCACGCTGTTTTACGACTTCGCCAGTGATATGTATTAGTATTGATAACATATCGATTTAAGGAGTAAAAAAACGGTAAAGGTAGAAATATAGACCGCCTAGATTTATATTTTTTCACCTCATACATCACAATATTATTAATATTATTCAGTAATGCATCATTCATTAAGCTCCATTGTTTTCCTTTCTTTATTTTTTGTTCGAAATAAATTCGAAATATCGTTCTAAACGTATTCTAGCATAATTGCTTTGAGTGCTTGCGATCCATAAATGCTCACAACGAGGGATGCACAATGACGGTAATTTTTGACATGCGTCAAGTCAGTCATAAACTTACCGTTTTCTGATCATTTCTGACTTGACGCATACCTCGTGATGGAAACTGACTGGTCGACTGACCCAATCGTCAGTAATTTGTTCTTGTTGTCATTTATATTGAAACTATATATAAAATAAAATAATATTTTTGTTTAAAGGATCCTTACCCTTTGAAGCACTAGGTGCATCTGCAGCTATCGTTTAGTCTCGTAATGTTCAATGAAAAACTTACATAATGATAATGATAAAGTCAGGGTTTGAAATGAAAAGATAACAATTGGAATAATACCGATTTTTCAGTTTATTGTTCAGAAAGGATTTTTATTAGTTACACAAAAGAAAAGAAACCGAAAGACAGAGAGAATTCGATCGCAGATAAATTTTAATGATCATTTATGATTAGATTTTGAGAAAAGTAAAATGGCCAAAATAAATAGTTCCTTTCTTTGAATTTTTGTACGAACCGATTCCAAATAATTCAAAGTGGTTTTTCAGTGCGTGTTGAAATTTTTCATTTGATATATATTTAGGTTCCCCTTTTATTTCACTAAAACCATGAAATTTTCCGACGGTTTGAATCAATTAATATCTATTGTTTTTGTTTTATTTTATAAATTGTATCCTTGCACTTATTTAATTCACAACACGTAATGAAAAATTCGGATCTCATCGACTGGTTGCACAAAAATGTGAACTAGAAGAGTTGGCGTAATTGTTTTCGGTTTTTAAATTACTGGGAGTCTTTTATCAATTGCGGACTCCTGAGAATCCAAGGAGTTCGTTCTCTTGTGACGTGTCTGTTTGGCATTGTGAAATGAAATTATGAATAACGCTGAAACGGAAATCGAAAAATTAGTGAATATTACCGTAGTCTGGAATTGCAAAAAAATAAAAAAAAATCATAGAACTTTTTTTATTTATTATTATCAATCTATAAAGTTCAATTATAGTAAAACAGTCGTATAAAATTTTTCACTGGATAAATGATTTCGTAAATGTTCTCTTTTAAGAAGCACGAAGCTGCGTTACCATTTGAACCGATAATATAGTTTCATGCCAGGGATGTGATAGTACATTATGTCATGAGGGCGATAAGCGGCGGTTTGTGAGGAGTGTGGAGTTGCAGCAAGAGGCGTGGCAAGCAGGAGACGAGGATCGCCGAAGGCGATCCGAGTCGGACGCTTGCCATGCCGAGTGTTGCAAACTCCACACGACTCACAAACCAACGCTATCGCCCGAATGGCATATACTATTTTTCGTCACGAAGGCCCGACGCGGGTGTGGGCGCGGGAGGGGGTCCAGGGGGACGAAGTCCCCCTGGTGGGGGGGGTTGGGGGGGGGCGAAGCCCCCCCCCACTGAAGAAAAAAATAAAAGCAATAGAAAAAAATAAATCGAAATAAAATCAATATCAGTTGATGCGAAAATAAATAACTAGTAAAGTCCGCCAAAATATCCAAAAACAGTAGGTTGATGACGGTAATTTTGGACCTGTGAAAAGAAAATTGCATAAAAAATAGAAAATAAGAACAGATATCAAAGATAAAAGAAGATACTCAGCTGTTCAATTTTTCTTCTTTTATTAAGAACAGAAGTCGACGTTATAAATACTGATATTTTAGAAATTGTTGTTTTTTGAACAAAAATATCAACTTTAAATTGAACAAAAACTCGGAGAGTGACTTTTTTCTAATGATAAATCTTCTCAATGACACACAACAACATGGCTACCACTAGTGGGTTAAGTTGTAGAGAAGGCCGCTAGAGGCGCTGTACAGCTCATCCGACTATACGTTTACCCGAACGCAGAGCGCATGCCCAAGTGGGGGGAACGTCAGGGCACATGGTGACGCCCACTTTATCGCTCCTAGGATGGGTAAGTGAGATTTACCCTCCTTGGAGCACCGAGCGTCTCATTTACCCTCCTTGGAGCACCGATTATTCAAGTGCCGCGGTAAACTCTCTTTACCCCCTCTCGACAGAGCCCGAGTAAGCGCCGTTTATCGGGCCGAGTGACGAAAAATGACGTCACGTTTTGAAATCTGTCAGGTCATAAAAATATGACGGTCATCTGAGAATGCAGAGAATGTTGAATGTGAAGTGAATTTTTCAGTTAAAAATTTTCGTAGAATATCGGGTTTCAAAATTGTGTGTAATTTTCAGATAAATATCATGTCAGAAATTGTGATGAAGAATTGATGTGAAATCATTTATTTAATTCATTGATCTCCACTGGTCGACCATTCCTGGTGAGGAAAATGACACTTATTCAAGAAACTCACCACTGATTTTTCTTTTTTAAATTGAAATACGACTGGCACGCATGTTGACGGTTTGTTATTGTCTGTCCACAGAGGTAATCATGTGGAATTTTCGAATTTCGAACTAGTTGCCGCCACCTGGGGTGCCAAATAATTAGATGGAATGTGACAGTCACAGAGTAAAACAGTCACGTTTGTGTCATGTGACAATAAATTGTCATGGTTGACCGTGTCACTTGACCGTCATTGACGTGTCATATGACCGGTCAGTGACGTGCCATGTCATTTTTTCGCATGAAATTCATGCTAAACAGACAAATCTCTATAGGAGCCCATGTTTCAGAAGCGACTTTAATCGTTAATAACTTGAAAAGGAAATCCGAATAAATTTTTGGAAAATTCATAGATAATTCAATTGTGATTACGAACATTCTACATGAATTCCAGATGAATTTCATTATTTACATTTTTCGCATGAAACACCTTAAGGGCGTGTCCTCAGTAGGGCAAAACGGTGCTTGGCGCGCGGGAGAGTGGAGCGTAAAATGGTTAAGTTAGTGAGGTTATTTTCTAGAAAGACGAAACATCAAACATGGCGTGCGTTGGAATTATTATTGCCAATTATTTTTATCGTTAATTTATTCAACAAATCACTGGCAAAACTCGATGAGACTTCATTCAGTTATTTTTGAGAGTTTAATATAAATTAATATAGCTTCCTTTGTTGGCTAGCACTTTGTCAACAGGGTGAGGGGTAAGGGACAAAATTTCGTTCTTAAAGCCCATGTATAAGCAGAAATTCGAATGATTAATTGAAAACGAATGAAACGATAAAACTACTCAGATTTTTGTTTACAATTTTCCTTTTACCATTTTTGATTATTATATTACATATTCCATTCGCTAGCACATTGTCGTTTTGTGGCGAAAATTACTGAGGAGACCCCTTAAAGGATCTCCAACACATAAATACTCAGAACTTGAGTGATGCATTTCTACATCCTGATGTTAATATGAGCTTCATCAAGAAACATTTCAACGCAAGTGCTTGGAAATAC